AATTCCAGTTAATGATAAAGTCTTAACGAAGTCTGAGACTTTGAAGTGAGTTTCACTTATTTACTGCATCAAATCTGACTGGATTCTCCGTAGATCAATAAACAGAGTTGATGAAGAGTAAAGAACCATCAGGTCAAACTGAAAACACAAACACAAACACTGTTTCAGTCACTTTGTCAACAACTTAGTCTCATTGAACCGTTGTGTATATATGTGTGTGTATATGTGTATATGTGTATATGTGTACTGTGTCTTTCAAGGACACAGACACATATATACATACATATATGTGTCTTTCAAGACTAGACAAAGGTCATAGAAGAGGGGCGGGGCAAGTTATTGGTTTTCTCTGCCAGTAGCTACTATAATGATCCCAGAGGACACACACACACACACACACACACACACACACACACACACACTCTCTAAACTAAAGTTCATCTATAAAACGCACAAAGGTTTATGAAACGAACCAATCAGAATGCGATGAATTGCCCAAAAGCTCCAGTAAGGCATTGAAAATCAAAGAGTCAAACCTCTTTGAAGTCTGTCTCTTCAAATCAAAGGTTTGTGAAATATCTGGTTGTAAATTAAAGACACGGCCATCACACTTTGTTCATCTTGTGTGAAACCAATCACAGTGTGGAACTGTGGTCAGAGTCGGTCAGAGAGGCCTTTGATTCTACAACACTGGTTCAGATGCATATTTCCTGGTTGATTCCAAATCGTCCACACGACCGTGAGAGCCTTCGGGCCAAACGCTCAGCTGAAAGGATTAAGTTCAAAGGCAAGCCAGAAAACGACTCTCAGACTCCAAGTCTTCAAATATCTCTGATATTGACTCCTCAACCTTTCCACTCAAACATGGCGTGAAGGCTAGCCTTGGTCCCAGCGACCTTCAGTACGTCTATAACAGACCCCTCTCCTGGTGGTCTGTGTTGGGGTTTCTATTTGACTATGAAAATGTTTGTCTCCTCCAGCCTCACGAGGCACCGTTCCCTCCTTCCTGTTAGCCACAGACCTGGGAGGAACCGTGTTGACGACTGGCAGCAGACCATGAAGAGGAAGTGCAGTTTCCATTAGTGACTGAGTCAGAGCGGACTCATCAGGATGACACTGTGGAACGCTACACTATACCAGCTGTTGAACGGAGCGCCAAGTTCAGTTAGTCAGAGATTATCAACCACTAACAGGTTAATTAATTATCCAATTTCACTCAAACAGTAGGAAAGTTATTGTTTAGGTTTATTATTTTGTAAATATCAAACACCATTCCAGTAGATGGCGGCAGAAAATAAAAGAGCGTCTCAGAGCTGCTGAAGATCAGCAACTGAGTCTTTTTTCAATTCCCGCGAGTTTATCAGGGATGTGTTCAACTAAAAAGGAATCAGGACGTTTATATTATCTTTTAGTTTTTTTATGGACTCAATGTTAAATGTCTCTGCTAACACAAAGAAAGGATCATAAAGACGTCAAGGTTGAGATCAGAAAACCATTTCAGACTCAGCTTCATCCACTTCATTATAAACTGAAGGTTTCTGAAACTAACTGGTTACTACTAACTGTTAAAAATAATCTATTGACTAGTTGGTCAACAAACATGTTGCTGTTATTCTGACTTTGATAAGTCTTTGATAAGTCTTGCATAAGTTCCCCCACGATGCAAGAACGCCGGCGGGAACGTCGGTGCTTTTACTTGGTCAGTGAGAACCAGGACTCATCCTGCTGTAAGTGGCTGCACCGACTTAGACGCAGACACACACACGCGCGCGTGCGCGCGCACACACTGAACTACACATTTTGCAGTAGCTGAAGCGACGGCACAATTCTATCCCAAAAAAGTTGGGAATAAAAACTGAAATTGCTTTCCACAATCTCTGTGTAGAGAACATTTCAAATGTTTCAACAGAAAGAGCCTTCACGGCCACAGCAGCCAGACAAAAAAAAAAAAAAAAATAGAGAGAGAGAGAGTATATATGTATAAATGCACAGAGTATATACAGACACACACGGAGTTTGAGTCACAGTTTACGCGGCAACAAACTTTACACTTATCACATTGACAACAGGATAAAACGGTGGAAAACGGTCAATTCTGAGGTTCAGATATGAACTGGAAGCTGCCGCCATGTCCACCAGGCAACAGCAGCAGTAACAGCAGCAGTAACAGCAGCAGCAGTAACAGTAACAGCAGTAACAGTAACAGCAACAGCAGCAGTAACAGCAGTTACAGTTATTTGTTTCCGTCTTTTTTCTTAAACTACGGCTCATAACAATCGTATAAATTCATTTCTTTCTCAATAATCCCAGCCTGGAACGTAAACTCAGGAACGGTGAAAACGTACTTTCTGCTGCAGTGATTTCAGCGGTTGCCAATTTAGATTTAAACTCGCTCTCCGTCTCCGAGCGGTTGGCGATAAAGCGGTGGACTATCTGAGTGTCGCCGCAGATTTAGGATTTAATTCTGCTCCACCAACAACAGATGAACACAAGTCTGATCTGGACGTTATCTCAGAGCCAATAGGTGAGTTCAAATGTGCTGTGACTCCTGGGTAAATGATTTGACTTCACTTAGAAAACCAACTTCTAGCTGTTGCGTCATTTTCTATAATTGCCTCGTCAGTTAATTTCCCAACATAATTATCTGTCGTGTTGCTAAGTCTATTATTCAAACCCAAACAATTACGACCACAGAGAATTTGTGCAGCTTCGTTTCTACGCTCCGTTGTGGAGTCAACGCGGGCAGACAATGAGTGAATAAACACTACCACATTCTGTCACACGAGGCAGCAAATATAGATAAATATAATCTCTAATCTTCTTAGCATTTCTTTATTATTGCTGCGTTGTAAATAAGAAAAAGTCCCAATAAAAAAAGACAATGATGTGATTTTTAATTTGAGATTTCCTCCTAATCCTCCAAACCACACACTCTTCCTTGTGGTGGTGACAAATAGACCATTAGTGGAAGAGCCGGCCGAGGCCACCTCCCCGTCTTGTCCACACTGGTAATTTGATAGATTAGATTATTTACATCTTCCAGCAGGAAAGTGGAGCTGAGTTGTAGAACCAGGGTTAAAGAAACGACTCAGAGTCGGAGTCTGTCAGGCTGATGGATTTACTCTACACCAACTCTCCAAAGTGGGAAAAAAAAGAACTTTGAAATTGACCATAGATTACTTCAAGTTGGAGGAAATACATACTGTCACGCTGACGTTGTCAAATGATTAAAATAATGAATAACAACTAATCATGATCAAGATAAATCAGCATTCTCAAAGGTGACAAAAACCTTTTTTTTTCTGTTTTTAGTTGTCACTAAACCAAATGTTATCGATATAAAAAACCCTAAACTCAGGGTCGTGGAGTTTTCTGGGTTCGTACTCATTACGGTCGTTACCTCAACAATACTGACACGACTCGTGTGAGTTAGCTTGACTGTCGAAGACTCGGTTCCTGTCCTGGTCTCAAGGGGCCGCTGACCTTAGGTTGAACCCTCCACAGTGTGTACAAATAACAACGTGTGTATTGACTGTGTGTGACAGCAGCTGAATGGAGTTCAGTGGAAGGACTGGACTGACAAAAACACGACATTAGATTTTATACATGGAATTCAGGTGAGCATTCATTTGACAGGATAAACAACAGAACGACTGCTCAGAGTCGGTGTCGTCGTACGCCCCGGTACAATGACAACAAAGACTGTTCTGTTCGGTTCTGTTCGGTTCTATTATTCTAATATCGTCTTTCCCCTGATTAACTCAGCATCATGTCATTCTTCAGTTCTTGTATTGTGAGGCAAATGAACGGGGGGGGGGGTGAGGGGGGGTGAGGCTGAGGCAAATATACAGGTGCCAGGTTTCCTCATCAGATAAACTTTAATTAGCTCTTAGCAAAAGTAGATTTAATTTGAATTCTCCTTGGGAATTTAAAAAAGAAAACAAACAGGTAGAGAAAACCGGCAGTGGACGCGATGAACCGGCAGTGGACGCGGTGAACCGGCAGTGGACGCGGTGAACCGACAGTGGACGCGGTGAACCGGCAGAGTTCCATCATCCACTGGTTATTACATTCTTATACATTCTTATGGTTATTACATTACATTCAATAACCGACAAACTGTTTTGTTTTTTGTTTCTGATCTGAATTCTCTGTGAAGCTGCATGTTTGTTTTGTTGGTAATCGTAATCCAAATCAAATCAGTCCCAGTTCTCATCATCAGAAGAATCCGGTCTGAACCAGATTCTTACTCAGAACCGGCGTTTCCACAGTGAGTGACTGTAGTTTGGATCTGTTTCCACAGCTACTAAATAGTTGTCGACACTTCCTACCGCGGCCGTTTGTCACGATGCTGCGGCTCGAACCACATCTAGGCTGCTGCTATTAAAGGAGATATTTATCGTCTCGTCATCAGGGGGCGCTGAAGAGAATGTTAAGTCGCAGTGAATCACCAGAAGAAAACTCTTCAATGGCAGCAAATGGCTGAATGGGAGTTTTTCTAACTGGTCCAGTCCAGTATGTCCCATCATGCACCTCACCTAAAGGTATGAACTGTTGTTTTCATTTCCACAGGATAGTGGTTCCATCTGCTCCTCCCAACAGTGTAGTTCCATTAAAGACAGTGGGGATATAAGTGCACTACGGCTGGAGTGAAGTAATATACGCAGGAACTGCATTGGTGAAGACGTACTGTAGTACTGAGGAGAAAGTGTTGTGCTTGCACTTCCTAGAAAGTACCTGCATTTACAGAGTAAAAAACCAACCAGTCTCAGAGCCCAGGTCTGGACCGACGACGACGACACTTCCTGCTCCAAGTCTCTGCAGATCCACGTTCTTCTGAAGACCTCATAACACTCAAGGAGAACTGGGAAACCTCAGCTGAAGACCACGTTCTGGATTTTTGCGTACCGCCCTTTTTCACGAAATCTACGCACGTTTGGTACATGATCCCCCCCCCCCCCCCCCCCCCCCCCCCCCCCCACCCACACACACACTAAACACCAGTGAGGATGAAATAAGACTTGACTGACAGTTGGTCCACTTCCTGTCTGGTGCGATTTCTTCTACTCATTTCAACACTTTTCCCAGTGTGGGATCAATAATGTTCAATCTGGTCTAATCTAATCTACAGCCTTTTAACCATGGCCAACAGGGGTCGCCCTACACACCTGAGACCACGGTGGCTTCAAAACAATCACAACACCACTGTTACGGCGGATTCACCGCCGCTCTGAGGAACACCCAACGCGGTGCTGAAAGACGTCAAACCGACAATTCTCTCTTCTCATTAATATCCACGTCATGAATTTTCACTATTCAACATTCAACAAAGACATTTGAAATTGATTACAACTGTTTCTCAAGCTGCTGAGCGGATGTGAATCAGGAATTCACTCCAGTTGTTTTTCTCATTCAGTCATTCCCGTCGGACCACTGTCGCTGATCAATGGGACCTGGATTTGAAAAGATGACTTTTTTTTTTTTTTCAAGAAAAGAAAGGAAGATTATTCTCAGGAGAGAAACTTGGCTGATGAACATGGAGGAAGTAATAAAGAGGGACATTTCCAGGGGACGGAATCGTTCAGTTTGACCTTGAAAGTCAACATCCGTCTCATCCGTCTGTGTTCAGCCAATCACTGATCAGAAAACTAAAATAAAAGCCCATAAACGGACTGAGTTTGTCAAACAGAACCATCAACTAAAAATAACAACTACTCACTAAGCACTAAGTTTTACTTTGATCATTTCTTTAAGGTCTTTTTTTACAGTTATTTCACCGTCTTTCTCTGTCTTTTCCTCTTTCACTCTGCAGCTCACACACCAGTGACACTACGTACGAGGACACTGGTACCTGGTACCGACTCTTAGCTAAGGAACATGTGGTCACACAACTCTGTGGGCTGCGGCAAAGACGCAGGACGTGACGAGAAACAGTTTCGGTTTTTTTCATAATTGAAACTTTTGACTGAAGATTGAACGATGGTGATGTCACGACAGAACACTTCCTGTCCACAGGACAGACAGTCAGGTGACACCCTTTAACCAATCATCACCACGGTGATGTTGATGACATCACCTGGCTGTCGTCTCTCAGGTCGGTCACTTTTCACACTCACATTAAGGTAATGTAAAACACACACACACACACACACGCAGTAGATAAGAATACTTATCAGCCAAGACAACACTTCACATTTTATCTGCTCACCTTTTCTATTTTAACCGCGTGGTTGAGTCCAAACTTTTCTTAACTAATTATTCCATTATTTTTCCTGCATCAGCGTCGTGACTAACGGCTCCCAGAAGGGGGCGTCAGGCCACGCTCTCACCTTCACTGCTAATGACACACTGCCTTCATAACAGCACTTCAGACTAAGTCAGCACACCAGCGCACGATTCCCTGGCCCAAGGGCTCACGGCATTTAGAAAGTTCTGGAGTCAAGACATCTTTCTTTTACGGTGAGGAATGTGAAAGGTTTCATCATCAGCTGACGTCGGTTTCTCTTTATGTAAAGCTGGAAAAGTTTGAACTTCTTTCCTCTGATGGTTAAGAAACTATGGTCCAGTGATTTTTCATCTGTTATTTGTCTTCATCTTCCTGTTGTCTACAAGCAGAAAAAAGGTGCAACATTTAGGCATGTTGTTGAATTCAACTAATCGTGATTAATCAACATTCAATCAACATTATTCAGATTCAGATTTAACATTTTAGCTCCCCCTATGATTATTCAGATTCAGATTTAACATTTTAAATATAAACATTTTTGACTAAGTAAAACATGGACATGAAATCACCAGGAACAAAAACCACGGTGAAGCGGGAAAATGGTGGGCGAGAGACAAAAACGCCGTCCGCACCAAAGATCCAGGAGCTGCGTTGATGGAACGTTCTCATTTAAACAGACGGCATTGAAGAAGGTGATGAAAGTTGGACCAGAGCCTCGGCCGCGAGGTTTTATAAAATGCCCGTCCTTTGATGCATCTCGTCTTATTTACGTCACACCACATGAGAGTTCAATTCTATCTGGAAATTTCATTTTGACATTTTTATCCGTGGCACATTTTCACCTCAGTAACAGAACCCTGACATATTTTATAAATATCTAAAAAATACTCTTATAGGTATTTGACTGAAATATATGAACACATATAATATGAGACAGTCTGACTGACCACTACATGAGCTTCCTGTGAGGAGATAAGAAAAAAGAAATCAAACATTTGTGCTTTGTTTTAACCAAAAACAATGAGGTTTTTGTTTTGTGTACGGACCCTGAACGTCACACTGCTTTATTTAACTCACAGAGCGTCACCTGAACACAACACAAGTGGAGTGGTCTCACACACACAAACACACACTCGCACGTCAGGCCCTAATGAACAGCCACAGTGCCATCTACTGGAGACACCGAAATGCACTTTTCCACGGTGTACGGCGGATCACGCAGCGTGTTTTTAGTTCTGTTTAGGAAACACGTCAATAAATGAAAGTAAGTTGTTTAGTTCCTACCTGTCAACACAGTGACTCTGGAAACAGAAGACCGGAGACCAGTCCTTCAGAGAACCCTGCAAACACAAATATATATATATATATATATATATATATTTAGATGTTTAATATTCGATAAAGGGCGTCTCATCGAACAATACTCGATTTCATTAAACCGGAAAAAAAAAACAAAAACAAAGTGAGATTGTGTTTCTAAACTTCAGACGTGAGGAGAGTTTACAGCAAAAAAATTTTTTTCAGTATTACTTATTTATTTCTGTTAAAAACATCATCTTTTAAACAGCTCACAGCAAATGCACTCGTTTAGACCGTGACATCAAACAGAGAGATGTTGAAGGCAGCGCCCCCGGTGGGAAACTACTACAAAGTCCAGATGATTCCCCCCCCATGTAAGTCAGGAATATTGATGTGTGTGGACATAACTATACTTTGACAAGACATCAATATACATGAGTCTATTTTAATGCAGCGG